ATTTTATTTTATTTTTTCCTGTGCCAATGAATGTGTTTTCTTAGAAACCTTTGGTCTCAAGTACTCTCTTTACGCGGTCATAAATATTATGATATATTTTCGGTCGTCAGGGTTGTTTCTGAAGTTATTCCATCTTATGTATTCTGAGACTTGGGATGGCATGTATTTCCAGTGGGGATAGATTAGTCCAATAATTTGTCGTAGAAATTGATCGACCTACTTCTTGGCCTTATCATATGGTCTTTCTTTAGTCCCCTCGTTAGAGAATGATCACAATTTGGTAGTAACTGCAATTTGTCTATGAATGGTAGAACATATTATAACATAAAGTGTATGAAAGGCCATGAACCTCTATGCTGAACAACTTGTTCCTTAATATACGATTTTCTTGTAGTTTGGTTGCTATTTCGATAAATGTTTTTTCTCAGTTCATTAACCAACCTGTGTGATCTATACATCCAGGATTGAACCGTCTCTGTCAGACAAGGATCAGAAAGAGAGGGCTCAGAGGAGCGAATTTGTGCAGGGGCTTGTGCTGTCTACTATCTTTGACGACGCATTGTAAGCCATGCTTTTGCCATCTAGTGGCGGCCGGAATTCTCGAGGGAAACAGAAGAGATCATCAGCGGGTGGCATTTCTTCTTGTCGTCGAAGGGGCCGTTCCTATGGAAGGGTTCCAAATTAGTACTTAAATTGTCTTACTAGGGGAGAGCGAAGAGCATAAATTGTATTATGCATGTTAACTTAGTACATGTTTTTAGGAGTGAATGTTTGAACTATCATATACTATGGGCAGCAACGCCTACTTATAGTGGGAGACTGCTTTAGCATTTTTCTGCCACCGGTTTCTTGATTTCCAGTTCTCACAGATGGAACACACACAGATCACTCCAATTGCTAAGGCAGAAATGGCCTCTTCAGTGCATCAAGGCAAGCTTATTTTGCCTTCACAGGTTTGAAAAGGTGAGGCTCTTTTTACCATCACTTTGAGGCAGTCATTAGAAGAAGAGCCTGGAAAACAAGCAATGGCCTTCCTCGGAGTCCAGCGGAGGAAGGCAGTCCAGGTGAGTCTCTTTTTACTACCACTACGTGCTTCCTCGGAGTCGCCATGGCGGATCAAACTAGGAAGAGCTCTGGGAATTGGGAGACACTCTGTGTGCTGCTGTGAAATATAGGTATGGTGGTGGTCAAGACAAACCCTTAGTGAGGCTTTTATAATGTCTCGACAGGTTTTGGAAAATAGTATTGTCATTAAATGCAACTCATTGCTATTGTTGGCCTAAGCATATTATCTCTTTATACTTAATAATTTATAGTGTGATATCTATAATTTTAAAAATAAAACAAATAATATCATTTGTCGTAGCGTCATCGGTTGCATTGATAGATATCATAACATGTGTTGGATCGATACGAAAGAAAATATAACATGTGTTCGATGAATACAAAAATGATAGAGAAAAAAAGATAATTTTAATATATTTTTTTATTTTTAATATGTGAGATATTAAAATTATTTTTTATTAATAAAATAATTAAAAATAAATAAATAAAATAATAAAATAATTATTTTTACATTAATTTTACGTTGATCCAATATGTGATATCACATATTGTGCTTTTCATCAATAGTTGATGACATTAGGATAAATAAAATTATTTATTTTATTTTTAAAAGACATTAAAGTAATGCACTTATAATCATCTATGCCATGTAACATATCCTAAATCCATACTCAAATACCTATATTCTATTCATATTTAATCAAAACCTGATTAATAATTATTTTAATCAAAACTCAAATAGGCTCCATTATTAGAAGAAAAAAAAACCCGCCTCTTATAATTAAAATTATTTAACTATTTGAATTCAATAGAATGGAATTCCAATCAAATATAATCAAGTGGGTTGGATAGACAAAGACATATACCTCAAATAATTATCTTAATGAAGAGCCAAATAAACTCCATTATCGAAAAAGACCCAACTCGATTAATTAATTTTTGTGATTATTTATGTTTTCGAATTTGATTTAATGGAACCATAAATCAAATTAAGGGGGTTAGACAGACATAGATAAATGAAAAAATTGGCTATCAATCCTCGTTGAATATTTTTGATCCGCTGAACCATATCTTTGTCCGATGAACGCATAAATCAAGGCTATAGAAACATTCCTAAAATTGCCATGGTGACTGAAGGCAAGATCACATTGATAGAATGTTGGGGTAGAAATGGCATGTTCCTAATCGAATTCATAGTAATATATCGGAAATTCACAATTCGAAGTATGGATGACAAATTTTCATTAAAAAAAACGAAAGAAAAACAAGGGGAAATGTAACTATTATTTCTCTCAATTTAATATAAGATGACATAAAAAAAATAAAGAAAAACAAGGGGCCATGAAACTATTATTTCTCCCGATTTAACATGGCATAAAGACGAATCATGTACTGTATGCCTTTATAAATAAAACTATTGCATCGTAAATGCAACTGGGCGTGTTACGAGCGTAAAATTGTTTTTGATTAATAATAAAGTTAAAGGTACATTTTAGCTCTGGTTTTGGTCATAGATTACTTAAGTTTTAATGATTTATTCATATATAAAATAATTCATATATTTTAAAAAATATAACATATAAAAGATTATTTTATCAAGTCTGAATTAACAAATATTATATTTTGCTTACGTGACATGCTGATTAACAATAAATTATTAATATAATAATATATATAAATTAAATTAAAAAATTAAGACCACCATCAATGACGGGAGGAGGTGTCATTGTGGAAGCAACTGCCAGCAGCAACACTAAGTCGTTGCTGCCTAATAGAGTATCGTACACACGTAACCTCTCCTGCGCTAACGAGAAGCTCAAGAGCTTCAGATCCTACCTAAGGTGGATGTGCGTCGACTAGTAAGATGCTAGACATACAATTGTCTTTATGTGTCTTTATCTCCATCGCCTCTCACTTCGTCCTCTCTTATGCCTCTCACCTATCGCGCTAACGACGTGGTAGTCCAGCTCTCCATCACCTTTGCCTCTTCGCATTTGTCCATCATTATGATCTTTGTCTTTTCCACTTTCCTCGACAAGATAGACTTTTGTTTAACTTAAATTACACATATCATTATATTAATGATTTATTATAAGTTAGTACGTGATTCTAATGTTTGTCAACTCAAACTTGACGGAAAGAACTTATATGCTATATTTTTAAAAATATAAATATTATATTAGACACAAATAAAACCATAAGGGCTTAAGTGGTCCATAACAAAAATCATAAGGACTAAAATGAATATATTTTTTTACTTAAATTACACGTGTCATTATATTAATAGTTTATTATGAGTCAATATGTGATGTAAACAGGTTCTAATATGTTAATTTAGACTTGACGGGAGGTCTTATATGTTATATTTTTAAAAATATATAAGTTATTTTAGATACGAATAAATCCGAAAATATACCTTTTTAACTCTTAATAATATAGCATGATATTATAATACATTAAAGAGCACGAAAGAAAGGCACTAACCTTTTGAAGCATGTATGATCGTAGGTTTAAGGAGCGATTTCATCCGTTTATGCATGGTTGATTGCATCACATGCCAAAACATATGACGTGACGTTTCTTCCCCGTGAATGCATTTGTATTTGAAGGAATGATTTCATCCGTTCGGACATGATTGATTGATAAAATGTTCATTGTTAAACTTTTAAAAAAACTATATGGCAATATAAAAATTCCGGAGAAGGAACAATAAAATCTATAAACTTTCGTTTAGTATAAGATTGCATTAGAAGAGAAAAATAGTATTAGAAAATATAAATGTATCAGTCTTTAGATAAATTCTTAAATAAGAATGAATATTGATGATTAAATTGCTTAAATATCTTCAGGTTAAAAAATATAAGGAGCTGAGCGTGGACAGACATTTCATTTTAGAGTTTACTATTCAAAGCTCCTTCTAACTATTCATAAATTTTATTATTTATAATATCTTTAAAAATTAATAAAAATGATTTATTATTCATAACCCCTTTAATTTTATTTTTACCCTCATCTTTTCTTTTTTTCTTTCTCACGATCTCTATTTACGCACTCTACTATTACGAAAGTGCCCATGGCCTTACCCTCATCACTCGTTATCGTCGATCATGGGCCTCAGCCTACTCACATATTATTGATATTTCGTTACCACCATCATCGTTAGCTCTGTTGTCTACGGAAGGTGAGGAAACCATCAACATCGATCACTGACCCTAACCTATCCGCTTGTTGTCGATCTTTCATTGATGTCATCATTAACTCTAGCTCTACTGATTATGAAAGAGGAGAAAGTCGCTATCATCGATCGTCAACCATAGCATGCCTATCTACCATCGATATTCCATTAACGTCATTATCATCGACTCTACTGGCTAGGAGGAAGCCACTATCATTAATTGTCAACCTAGTTTGCCCGCATGTAATCAATCTTTCATTAACACCGTTATCGTCGCTCTATTGCTTGTGAAAGAAAAGAAAGAAAGAGAAAAAAAAAAGATAAAAATATTTTAATATATTTATAAAGGGGTAGTTTAGATATATTAAAAAATATTAAAATGGTATTATAGACACTAATTAAAAAGTTGACATTTTAAACCTCATCCGATATATTTAATATCTTAAACATTAATCTGATGGTGATATATCAGATCCATTTATTAAAAATTAAAGATTTAAAACATCATCCGATATATTTTCGAACGAATGTGTCGAGTAACTTAATTCATAAAGACTTTGATGATTTATCATAAAATAAAATCGTCGATTCTAATCTCATCTTCTGTCACTAACCCTTTGGAAAAGAAAATATTACTCCAAACATCATCGGTTCAGATAGTTCAGGCTTGTGATTGTGTCAAACGGACGAGCAAGATTCATCCAAGTGGTGCTTCTTTGATTCAATTACGGAAGATTTTATATTTGTACAATTACAGATCGATAGTGTACTCAGAGAACCCTAATAAACATTTCCCAAATGAAACAGCTAAACCATTTCACATACTAAAAGGCAACCGAGTTCGTCGCTTATTCTCCAAAACTAGCATAAGATGGAGAGAAGTCCTCGGATCAGATCCTATCTTTCGGTGGCAAACTCCATTAATTGATCTCGGAACGATGCCGATTCCTCCTTTACGACACAACGCGCCATCAACCTCAACCCCTGCTTGGGTGCAGGTGGCCTGAGAAAGATGCACGAACCAAAGAAATTGTAGTCATTCACTGGGCAAAAGTGGATCGGCGTTCCCCAGCCGTAGTCTACCTCTGAGAACCCAACTCGACTCCAATCTGATATGGACAGGAATCCATAGTCGATTGGCTCTTTGAATGGATCCTCCTGGGGGTCGCCCATCATCCACTTGGAGAACCTGATCGGTAGACACTGTTTTGCATCTTTGATGAGGCTTATGACTTCGAGCAGAGATCCATCCGCGACCTTCTGTCGAGGAGCCGTGATGGTCATGGGGTAGGCACAGTTCCCATAGTAGCCTTCCTCCTTGAGCAGCGATTTGTAGAGCAAGTGACGAGCGTTTGCCGCGAAACCGATGCGAACGGTGGAGTGTTCCTCCAGCTGGATCGCTCGTGTTCGGCTCTGCCAAACCTTGGCTGTCAATACGTCGAACGTGGAGCAGAACGTGCCTGTCTTCTTGATGAATTCGTCCTTGATCCGGTTGATGTGGTCTGAGGAGACGTCCAGTATGGTGTCTACGAACTTGAAGGTGAGTAGTGGCGGCGGCGGTCCTCGTTGCAGCTTAGGCGGGCTGGGGATGGCGTCTCTGCACCATATGGGTTTGACCAGGGGTTCTGTGCAACCTCTGGCTATGTCGGCAATGGCTTGGAAGAACTGACCTGCTCCGATGCCATCGAAAATTGCATGGCTGGATCTGATGCCCACCGTGAAACCCCCACATGTAAACTCTGTAACCTGATCTCGATCGCACACAAGACAGAAGAGTAGGTTTTGCTCGTACTGCCATGACCAAACTACGTACAGTATTCAGGAGAGAGGGAGGGAGGTCACCTGCATCAACAGAATAACGATGCCCTCCGTCTGCCCTGCATCAGGGGATGGATACGGGAGTATGGATTCCTTGGGCACCGAGAGAGGCAGCTGAAGGTAATTGACATCTTCGAGGCTGCAGCTGGCGGATGCGTCGATGAAGTACACGCCGTCTGCGGTGCAAGCGACCTCGAGCTCGTCCTGGTCGGACATGGCGAAGCGGCCGGCCACAGGGTAGTAGAACACCAAGGCCCTGGACAGTGCTTCCCTTATGATCTTTGCGGGCTGTCGACCGTGGCGGAACACGTGTATGGAGTCCACGAGTCCCACCGAACCTGGGGTTTTGTCCATGACGGAGAGGGGGAGGGTGCCGGCCGGGGTCGGCCCCGCCGGTGCAACCAGCCCCTCAGTCAGCTTGGTCACAGAGAAGTCCATGGAGAGGAATGTTTCTTCTGGTTCAGCGTTCTCCTGCCAAGCCCTATCTTTGTGGCTATATAGACTGGATTCGGTGGAGAAAATGGCCATGGCAATTGCTCGCAGTGGATTAAGACTGGTAGGCAAAGCGGGCCAGTGGGAAGCAAGTGGAGGAGAAAAAGGAAGCTCTCCACTGGGCGCAGATGCGCACTGAAGGATCAGCAATGGCATGCGAGTCTTCGAAGAATATGGACGACGGTGACGTTTTCCATGAGAGTGCTGTTTCTATTCAACACAAAAGGAATCGAAAGAAGATGAAGCACCGACGCATTATGTCACATTAACTTGACATGAAAATAAGATATATTTTAATATTATATAGTCGATGATAATTACAAAACCGATACTCTATATATATATATATATATATATATATATATATATATATATATATATATATATATATAC